ACTACTGTGCATTTGCTTCCACTACAGAGCTCACAACAGAGTAACAGGAAACATTTGGAGAGAAAAGGTGATCTTCCCAAACTGACTCAAACTGTGAGTGATGGGGCCATGCGTTATGAGGTGTAGAACATTTAGACACACGGCACACCAGAAACTTCTAAAATTGTGTCCCTGGGCATAACTGTTGCACAAAAATTTGCTAATGTCATAAACTACATCAAAGATGCAGGATGCAGTGTGATTGGATATTTTGTTGCCAGGGCGAGAATTGCCACTTGTCAAGTAAGAAAATATTCCCTCTAAACAGTTAAAATTATACATTTTACTTCTATTTGCAGTATCTCTGCTCAGTCATGAATGAAATGACAGCAGTATTGTGAGAGCCAGCAGTGTGAAAGGAACAGTGTGATCACTTAATCATTCCTGTTGCTAAGCTATAAAGGCAGGGCAGGGTGCTACATGGTTCCTTTTGTCTGGAGACAACTGTCAAGAGAACAGCCAAGCATAAACTGAGCTTAATGCTGCCTGGCTGACAAAGGTATTTATGAGCATTAAAATACAAATCCTGTGTAGACTGGATTCACTACATCAGACTTAATAATGTGTATCCAACAGCATGATGTACAAGCATCTCTCGCTCCATATCACAATGGGGTAGATTTTCCTAGGTCTGCGACTGTGTTTTTAAATATCATGCAATACAGAAAATCCACTATAAAAATTCAAAAGAAATATTGTACACATGTATGCAGTAAAGAAATTAAACCAAGCCCTGAAAAATAACAAACCATCACTAAACTCCATGTACTGGCCAAAATGTAGTCTCAGTGAGTAATCTGATAGTATGAGGAACAGCATAATATGATATCAGCAGAACAAAGGTCTGGAGTGATATAAATAAGTCTCTGGTTAGGAAACCATGTTGTGCAGCACTGGTTGTTGATTTATCCAAAGCACTTGATACTGCTGATCATTCTAAACCAAGGAGAATTCAAAGTACTGAGCCATCTGAACAAGAAGGAGAATGATTTGGCCACTACACTGTTGGTCAGGACATCTAGGCTATTTTCAGACAAGACCATGAATAAACAACAACTGTGCAAAGCCCAGGATCATATTCAGTAATGACTTTTTTCCTTTAACTTCCAATGGCAAATTTCTGCTATACATGTGCATGACTAATGGGGTCTGGTTAAGGAACAATCATGGCCATATTTAAAAGAAACCTACACTGTCGGGTTGGTAGGAAACCAGAAACCACCCACTGTCTCCCATGTCAAAGTCACAGTTTATTTACCCAGCCACTGACAGCAATCTCCTTATAAAGTTTTGAGGATATATACACAACATGCTAATTTTGCATTTGTCTTCACAGGCTAGAGGTAAGATTTACACAGCCATAACACACACACGCACACACACATACAAAAGCCATTTTCTTTTCCTGGGAGGACATTCCCCCTTAGGATTCCCCCTGAGATTGAAACTGGCAATGTTGACTTTATACATAGATCCTAAGCATGAATAATCATTAAAATCAGTCACGACTTCACAGCAATTCATAACTGAACATGATGGCTGAGGTGTGAGTGTGGGCGCTGAGGCTCTTTATGGTAAAGCTTTGTGGCTGTTACATGGTCGTCAGCCTAGGTTCCTGTCTCACTCTGCATATTGACCCAGCCTCATTAACTACCCATCCCAAGCTCCTCATTTAGTCCCTAATTAGGAGAGCCAATGGGTCTGCAGGATCTGGCAACCTCCAAGTTTCTCCAAGCAAAGATACATATTCTCCCAACAGTAATGTTGAGGAGACATTAGGAACTTTCAGGACATGGGATATTGACATGTTTCACCCTTAAGGCATCCGCATTGCAAAAGTATGTGTGTATGAGAGAGGTTATTCAGTCTGCTGACTGATTGCTGTGTATTTACTCCAAAGCATGTGGGTGTCGCACACACAGCAATAGTACAGCTGAGAGGCAGCAGAATAGCACTATGTGCTATCCCCCCCACTGTCTTCTCTTTCTCCCTCTGATGTCACATATTCAGATTTAAGATTTTTTCACATCGTGGCCTTGTTTGGTAGGGTGCGATCAGAGGACAAGAGGATGGAGGTAAGGCGAGTGAGTCGAAAGCATGGGTATTTTCCAAAACAGTGGGAGTATATAAGATGCAGAAACAAAGGAAGACATCTAGGCTAAAAAAAACATGCATGAATGCCTCTGAAAAGGCTTGTGTTGTGTTGCTGACTCGTCTCATCCCTGTGACTCCAAGCCAGCTGTGCCTGTCAGGGCACTACTGTTCACTCTGTTGCTGTTATCTGCACTTTTTCTTGTGGATAAAACAGTTGTCTGCTAATATCCATACCTGAGGGTGAGTAGGGCTTCTCAGTCCCCAAACATGGCACAGTCCCAGAAATGTGCTGTCACAGGAGCAGACGAGCCCCATATATTTGGTTCCCTTTAGAGTCTTATGGCTATGCTTGATTTTAGTGGCACTGTGGCATAAATGTACTTCTGTTGCTAAAAACCACCATCAAAAACACAAAATACTGTATATCTGTAGTAGAGCAGAGCAGCAACATTTCTTTGTGGTTTTCTATGTTTTGTAAGATGCACAGAATGTTGTTGTCCAAGTAATCGTCTGCAGGGCCCTGAGCTGAGCATTTTAATATCAATGAGAGGTCAAAAAATAAGATTCACTGGCAGGCAGTAGTGAATCTTTAGAAAATGGTTTTATTTTTTTATTTTACAGGCTCCAAGAGCTGCAGTGACAGGGGTCAAAGGTAATTTTAAAGGATTTTATTTGATGGCTGTCATCTGGAATAAAATCACTGATGAAGTTTGTGTTTTGCATACAGTACACACATTTCTGGAAGATGCATCAGTAGAGGAGATATAATGGCTGGATTAAACAGAACAACAGGGCACTTTTAATATAATCTGACCTTTAAATGGCTAATGTATCCGTGCCTCTGAATAAATATGCAGTATTGAACTGCTTTAAAGAGCTACTAACCCAAAGGTTTTTCATTAACCTTACTCTCAGTATAGTTTTTTTTTCCTGAGCAATTATCTCAACTATTGGTTTCAGCAAAAATATTAGTATTTGCCTTCAAAATTACATAAACTTGATAGCTTAAGTGTGTGTCTCCTTCACTCTCATAAATGAGCAGGTGAACCTCCTAATATTAAAACAGTAATGATAAGCTTCTGCAAGGTTGTAATATATCAAGGGCTTACTTAGGCATAAACAGCTTACCTTTTTATGAGATTTTTAATCTCACTTTTTCATGAATATATACAATAACCCTGCTATTTATTTTTGCTCCATCCTTTAATAAAAAAGCCAACATTAAGCAGCTATAAATCAACACTGATCAGTTTAATGTATATGCTAATGAAAACTTATCTTGTCCTATTGGAGAGATGGGGTTATGCGTTTTTATAGCGCCCCCACAAGTATGATCTGGGAACTTGAAGATATCTGCGCTTGGACTAAATTACTGGACAGCAGACAAACAGAACATAAAAACACACACAGAAGTATTAGATTTCTCTAAACTTAAAAAGCTGGAAACCAAAAGAAGCATTGTTATCTAGTTTTTGTTTTTCTTTAAAAGTAGCAGCCTTCGTCTGGCTCTCATTTTTGATCATTTCCATGCAGCATGCCTCTGAGTGGACTTTTTTTTTTTGTTTTTTTGTTTTTGTTTTTTTGCCTTACTGCAGCACAAGGAGTGCTGAGGGAGGCTCCTTACGCCAGAAGGGGACAGTGAATGACAACCCGTTTTGTGGCGATTAAGACTGCTGGCCATCAGTGAGTGAGAGCAGGCTGACTGAAAGTGCGCCACAGCAAATAGGCTCATAGCGTTCGTCTGCCTTCCTACTCCACTGCTAATAAATCAGCTACTTGCCTGGGGTTTCTCCCATAACCATCACTGGGCACGACTTCACCCTGCTTTATCACCACGTATTACTAGGCAATGACTTATGCTGTGCTTTTCGTGAATTTCAGCAGGTGAAAATTCCCTGGAAAATAAAAGATGCCCAAGGATACTACTTTTTTTACAGTATTTAAAAAAAAAAGAGTCCTGTATTTTACTCACTTTAAAATCAAACTTAAAGGTCTTTAAAACAGACGTTATCCAGTTTGTAGTTCATCATAACATAACAGCCCTCTCCCATAGGTCAAGCACCAGGCTTGGTCGAACACT